TAAAAGGATAGTGTGTGCCCAAAACTCACCACCACCGTCACCGTTGACCTGGTGCAGGGTCATGTCGACGGAACCGCCGGCAGAGATCTGGGGGAGCATGGTGCCAGTCTCGGCCATCATGGCCTTGGTGCCGGTCTCAAGGTTGTTAGTGCCGGCTCCGACAGTCTCGCCGAAGGTATCCGCAGCCTCGCCCTTGAAGCGAGTGCTGTCAGCCTGGAAGGGATCACGACGTGTTCCGTCACGGGGAGTGCTGGAGTCGATTCCGAGGGCCATTCCCTGTCCGCCGGCATCACCAGTGGCGCCAATGATGGCAGCGTGGCCGGCAACAATGTCGGCAGTGGCCAAAAGGCCGATGGCGAAAATGCTCTTGATGGAAGACATTGTGATGTGAGAGAAGGTAAGTCCTGGCCGGCAGGGATATATTATACAATACAAATGATTGGAAGGAGAGAAGTGGTCGGATAACTAAAAGACTGCTGAATGCTGGATGGGAAAGAAAACTATGAGAGGATTGAGGCTGGAGATTAGACCATCTTTATACCTTGGTTGTCAGTACCCCGTTGAGAGTACCCAACCGGTAGATGGATGTCTGTCTGATGTCGAGACGACGCGCATATCCTGCACCCCATTGCCAACACGCGCCTTAGTGAGCATCCGGAGTGCTTCTCCTGCCTTCTTCTCTGATACTCAAAGGACGGTGGTCGAATTTCCATCCGACATCCTAAACCGCCAAGCCAAACATGTTTTCGCAATAGAGCCTCAATGCGAGATCCTGGGGGGGTATCACTACACCCAAAGGAGCGTGCACATGCACAGAAGTACCTTCCACGCGGTTGTTGTTGCTCACTCGAAGTTGTATCCGCAAAGTCGGGCTGTGGCGAGGCCACGAGCAGAGCCTCATGCGAACCTCGGGCCAGGGGCGTGTGCAACATGAGGCCACCATAGCAGGGATGGCCGCAAGGTTCCGGAGTTGGTGTGGCCGAATGTCAGCTGGAAAAGTCCGAGCCCGCGACCTTATTTCGACCCAGTTTAGATGTACTAGTGTTGAAGGGGTTGACGAGTGCATAATGATCGTATGCACCATCCACTACCTCAGGTCAAGGTACGAACGACAGGAGTACCATACATAAGAGAATGACCTGCATTTCTGCAGTCCATGTACTTCTAGTCGGTCAGATACAGGCAGTAGCTCGACCTGACAGAGAACGGTTTTCGACCCGTTCAGGAGAAGACAGCAAAGATCGATGTTGTGAATGCACCCTGAGCCAGCCCGTTGATGCAAGTCCTATAACATACCGTGGGTGAAATCGACTACGAAGGAGACCCACAAGTCGGCGAGTCACAAGATACATGATTTAGCTTAAGATTGCTGCCGAGTTACATCGGAATGCAACAATACCAATATGATCCCGACAGGGATCTTGCCGGCCTTGTTTCCGTTTCTAAAGACCAAGACAAGCATGGGGATTACGGCGGCCTAGCCAGCTGAAGGCAAGGTGCTATGTAAGGTGACACGGCAACTAGGGGTAAGGCTGTGGTATTCAGGCCCGTAGCGATCGACCTGGCAAGCAAAGACCATGCCTCGTGCGTGTTTGATGCGGAGATGTACGGCTGTTTCGATCCACGGCGCGGGAGCGTTCAAACCGGATCCAGATCACTGGGGTACGACGTGATTATTGCAAGGGGGAAATGTAAGAACGAGCCCGGGAGTTGGCAGCCCAATGGGATTGAACTTGGAGTCAACTACGAACGCACGGGCAGAGATGATTTACCGCCGTGGCGTGGATAACCCTGTGTAGACACTCATAAGCCAGTATAGCAGATGCATTAGTAGATGAAGGGAGACGCCGTCGATCAACGCTGTAGAGTGAGCACATGTGCAGACGGGCCAAACCGCTGCGGCAGACAACGGCGAGAACCACGCACGCACAGATAGCCGGCAAGGCAGTACGAATTCGAGTCACTCGTTCTCTGCCCAAGCCAGTCGGGCTGAGCCGAGCCAAGGGTCGAGTATGAGCCGCGCACAGGTCCAACGGCTGGCAAACCGGCAAATCGTGCAGCCGATGGTAGGACACGCGTTAGAACCGGTTGCTATACGCGAGAATCGACTGTGCCCTGGGCTGCAGAGCGCCGTAGCGCGGTTCAATACAAGTCAAAGCTATGGCAAGGGACGATGACCTTGTAGCCTCTCAACGCTTAACACGACGCAGGGTTCCCGGAGGGCACCGAGCATCAAGCAACGACCACCAAGGCAGAGGAATGGATGCCAAAAGAGAGGCTACTGTGGAGGATGGCGGGTGTCGAGAGCACCTCAACATGCTATTTCTGTCCTGACATCTTTCAGTCTTTGAGTCATAGCCACGAGGCCTGCTTGTCGTACTCAGGGGAAAAGAAACACGGAGGTTGTAGTCGTTCCATGTTCGTGATAAGGAGAAGTGGTAAGTGCTCTCATGCAAATGCATACTGACACTAAGTGGCCAGTGACTAACAGTAGCCATGCTGGACGAGGTCGGTTGCACGTAATGGTGGCTATCACGTGCAGCATATCGATGCGAGAGCAAGCCATACGTGCATAGAGGCAGCTTCAAATCCCATCCTTTGCAGTTGGATTCGTTTACGATAGGCTGGGGTTCTAGGAAGACGATTCCTGTGATGTAACAGCGACACGCCACGGGGCAGAGACGGGCTTGGTGATCCTACCGGGCCTCACAGAAAAGATAGCCGTTGGAGCTAGAAATACCGCCGCGGTTACTAACAATAAGATGAAGTCTGAGATGAGCCTTTGCCACTTGCTTGTGCTGTCAGCCCCCACCGACCAACGGACGAGATGCTTTCGAAGATTGAAGCCGCTGACTAGACAGTAGGTTAACAATTCAGTGTAATTAGTTTCAAGATGGACCGAAAGATGAGTAACGGCAAACGTAGCAGGATACCAGGCAAGGTGGGTAGTTGCCAAGGGCGGCGAACCTAGTGAGACAGGCATCGTTTGGAACAGGCGACGTGGGCTGCGCACCGATGTTGTATGAAACAAAGTTGTCAAACCCCATGGTTGCGGGGCCAATCGCATGGGCGTTTCCCCTGTGTGCAGCAGAGCTATGGAATCGATCCCGTTGGCCTTTGCTCACCAGAGAGGAGATAGAGATGCCTCGGATCGATCCGCCCGCCGGTGACAACCATGGTGTGATGGATGCAAAATCCTCGTGAGCCAACCTAAAGGGGACGGGCTGGCGACGGTATTTTCCTGTGCTTATACACCCAGATACAGTTAGGTAGTGCCAGCGGCTGATCAAACGGAATGGAAGAATAATCAAGGTTAAAGATGGACGGGAACGTAGCGAGCGGAAGCTAAGCCAATCTCGGCCAACCTTCTGCCACGATCATGCAACCCCCTGGGGAAAATCTCCCAACTAGTCAAACAGGAAGAGGTCTGGATCTGCTCCTGGCAAGCCATGGACGGAGATGGAGTTCCATCGCGGTGTCCCAGCCTTGCATAGAATTCAGGTCCGCTAGACGTCGTATCGCTAAGTGATGGTCGTCTGTTTGGGGCTGAAGGCGACGGTGTGTTTTGGTTACCCACAAGAGGCCCTTAAGACCCCAGGTGCACTGGGCGGTATCCGTAGTGACGATGCCCGACCTCCACGTCGCCATGTCTTGACAGAGGGGCAGCAGTGTGGAAAACTTGGTCTTGCAACCAGTTGGGCATTCCACAACCCCATCTCTGTCCGCGCGAGCCTTATCCTTGGACGAATCAGATGACAAAGGAAGTTTGTTATAACAATAGCCAAAGATAGGTTGACCAGGTAAGGTTGTAAAGTAAAATGAAGAAACGTGCGGATATACTTTGAAACGACGTCAACTCGGATCTATATATTACATAATCACACCCGCAATATGCCTTATGTAAACACATTTGTGGGGTCATGGGTGATAACTGAGGTACCTTTCTTACCTTACCTTGGAAGGTCATTCCCAATTGCCCGTGCCTGCATGCTGCGTGCTGTGTGCCTGCCTCAGCGAAGACTCATTGTACATCACCACTGCCTGCCAGAGCCAGGTTTTCGCCGGTGCACGGCACACTGATTACTTCCTTTCTCTACCTACCTTACTTACTATCAACTTTGGCGAATTCCGAGCAAACACCAAGTCAGTTGGTCCAATTACAGGACATCGGCTGGCTAGGTACCCGTGGCAAGTTGTGAGTCAAAATCCAAAAGACTCGTCTCTGGCTTACATGAGTAAATCATACATTACCCCTTCCAAGACGAGCTTGTAGTTCAAGCCAAAGTCTTAATCACATTCATATCATTTGTCCCTGATGACCAATTTCTAGACACCGAATCCTGGCCTTCATGCTTTGACTCATTCTTCTTCGCTCTACGCATCTCAACTTGTCGTGACCTGTCTCATCTCATCGCCCCGACGCCTTGCCCTAACCTTACTATCCATCAGCTAACCGCGCACCAGCTACTCGTATCGACTTTTCATCTTGAGCTCACCGTTACCTCAAACCCCAGTGCGGTCTTGCAACTCGAGCTGTATCCACAACACCAACCCACCATTCATCGACTCCCTTTGACGATCCTGGGACCCAGGCTGCTTGCCTCAAGGCCTGTGCTGCGCCCTTGCCATACCTCATGCAACCGCGCTTGCGCCTGCGCCTCCGCCTCCATCACCACTGCTACCACCACCACCCTAGCTAGTCAAGCTAGAGCTGCTTCTGGAGTGAGACCAGAAGGAGTTTATCTCGAAACTCAAGGATCACGGCCCATGGTTCAACGCGGCGCACGTTCTACCCCTCGACTTCCTGCATTGGCGCATCCGTGGACTCGACACCTTCCAACTGCCAGGCCTGTCGTGTCATGCTACGTGCCTGTGCTCGACCTCGATCTGTCTTGACCTGGAACCGCTGCTCGGTGCCGCGTGCATCCTTGTACCCTTACCTCATGAAGAGAAACTTTGACACGTTTGTGGGTCGCCCGTCTGCGTTTTCGCCGTCCAAGATGACAACCTCTGTTACTGCCTCGTCTATGAGCAACTTCACCACTGCGAATGTCCCCCCAACACTCAGTCTTACTCCCAAGGAGAAGCAATTGAGGGATCTTTTGGTTGACGTTGCTGCCTTTATCGATGGAGTCGGTCGTTCACCTGAGCCTCTTGTCCTTCGATGGGCTGGAGGCTGGGTTCGTGATAAACTCCTTGGCATAGAGTCTCACGATATTGATACCGCCATCAATGCCATGACCGGCTATGCCTTTAGTCTGGAGCTGCGCGACTACTGTGCTCTAGAGGAGCATACAAAGAAGCACAACATTGGTCCCGATGATATGGGCAGCCTCCACAGGATTGCTGCGAATCCCGATAAGTCGAAACATCTCGAGACAGCGACTACCCGTATGTTTGGTCTGGACGTTGACTTTGTTAATTTACGCAAGGAGACGTACACTCAGGACAGTCGCAACCCTACAATGGAGTTCGGCACTGCCGAGGAAGATGCTCTACGCCGCGATGCCACCATTAACGCCCTCTTTTACAATTTGCACACCGGCCTGGTCGAAGATCTGACCGGAGGACTCACAGACATGAAGTCTCGCCTGATCCGCACACCCATGGAGCCTTTCCAAACCTTTACAGACGATCCTCTCAGAGTCCTGAGGTTGCTACGCTTCGCCAGTCGTCTTGACTTTTCGATCGACCCTGCTGCCACTGCAGTCATGGCCGACCCCCAAGTTTTAGACGCTCTAAAGCTTAAAATCAGCCGTGAGAGGGTTGGTGTCGAGATGGAAAAGATGCTGAAGGGTTCGTCTGTCTATGTTTAATTCTTTTGGTATGGGAATTCGGTGAACTGACTTGTTTGGCTTTCTGCTGGAGCAGGTAAGAACCCACGCATGTCTCTAGACCTGGTTCGAACTCTCAACCTGTACGAGGCCATCTTCACGGATTCCAGTGACAGCGGTCACCCGTCACCAGATCTCTCCAAGTGGAAACTGGCCTACGATCTCCTTGATAGGCTCGCTCATGACAAGGTCCCGAAATTAATCTATGACGTTCTCGTCACATCCGACGAAGCTGCATACTTTGCTTGGAATTTGGCTGCAGTTATCCCATACTCCCACATAACCGAGGAAGTACCATTACCAAAGGCCCGGGGAACTGTGCCTCTGACTACGTTGGTTGCCCGAGAAGGTATCAAGGCCCCCAACAAGCTTTGCGATGTTATTACTGCAGCATATCGGCACCGCGCCGAGATCCTTAGTCTGAAGCGAAACTTTGGTGCCGGGAAATCTAGGGCTATCGAAAGGGGCACCGTTGGTATGGCGATTCGCAAATGGGACAGCCATGGAGGCCACTGGCGAGTCCAGGTACTCTATACCTTACTTGTCGAGGCCATTGAAAAGTTGCCACCTGATTCAACTACTGGTAGGTAACCCCATTTCTGCACTCTCCTTACCTTGTCCCGGGAAAAATTACTTATTCCGCCACAGACAGAGCAGAGTTTCTCTCGGGATGGCAGAAGTTCCTGGATCACCTCGCTGATTTGGACGTCATGGACGCACCTTCGCTGACCCGCCTGGTGGACGGCCGATTGCTGGGAAAAGAACTCGGTGTCCGGCCCGGCAAGTGGATGGGCCAGGCCTTGGATATTTGTGTCGCTTGGCAACTTCGTCACCCAGACGAGACCGAGCCGGCAGGGGCCATTGAAGAGGTGCGACGGCGAGCAGTTGAGCTGGGGATCAAGGGGCTTCCCACATGATGAACCCATCTGTACTGGGCAGAAGGCCCTTGAGGACGGGGGCTTTGCAATATACATCGGGCGAAGACTTCGATTGTTTTGGGCAGTGCTAGACGAAAACCAATCAACAATGGAGTAACGACGAGGAGAGGTTGTCTCAGGCAAGGCAATATTGCCTGGAGGGTACCGACTTGAAATACCCAAATAGACCACTTGCTTCTTGAAGCTGCAGGGAAAGTGCTACCAAAAGTCTTCGCCATCACATTCTGTTCCGAGGAGGCATATTTGCTGTCTATTCATCTCGTTTTCAATGCGGCGGTCCTCCACTGCCCGACTGCCTACACTCGATCAGAGCACGTTGGAGTAAGGTAGCCTGCACAGTGCGCTATAGTGCATCCTACTATGTACCTATTGTAAAAACTCGGGCGATTTCCAATCCAAAGGCCGCACGCACTAATTCCACTCCCACTGTGCCCGCTTAATCTTGTTGCTAAGAATCAGAGAGACACTTGCTCTCCCGTCAACGACCGTTAACGGTTAATCACCTACCTTACTCAGGCGGGCGAGGTCAAAATTCCGATCTCTCTCGTCCTTCCAGCTTACTCAGAACAGGACCTGTCATACGATCTGTAGACAAGTGAACACAACTGCATCAAGCTCTCTGTCCCATCTCGATCGTCCACGCTCATTTGGTCTCACCAGTGCCCGCTATGCTCTCCGACGTAGTCGAGGCCCTGCAACGAGCTACGTCCAGCTCTCTTGAGTTCAACGTCGACAAAGGTCTGGATTCTACCCGCGACGACTAAGGCAGTGCTTCATTAGACGTTGGAAGCTGACATGAGCCACAGATCTACCAGAACGATACACTCTTACAGACCTCGCACGAGACTTATCGGAGGTCGAGCATTTGGTGGGTTCGGCATACTCACCCATCTAATTCGTCTTACACAGGTTGCTCATTAAAACCCCAACAGCCACAAATACACACTCTCAGCGCTCTTTCACTCTGTCTCAGAAATGCCGACCGCATCGACCAAGGGTCACAAGATCAAGAGTCTATCGCACAGCTTTCTAGCCATGCGCTGGGATTACTGAGCAACTCTTCTGGCTCGCTGTTGAACACTGACCCAGCTCTAGCCGAGCAGGCGTTGGATATCTTGAGAAGCCTTGTCGTCAGATTTTCTCCATCCTTTGACGATCAGTGTCTTATTCTTATCGCTGCATACACCGACTGCAAGAGAACCTGGACGACCGCCAATGCAGAGCTTTATGCCAGAGAGATCCTGCGGCATTCTTTGGAGGATGTCCACAAGCAGGCATTCATCAGCTCAGTAGTGTTGGAGGGTTTTATTCGACCCATCTTCTCTCGGACAAGCTCTAGTCGCCTCACTTCCACCGGCAGGAAAGCTCATTTCGCCGACAACAGTCAGGACCAGTCCACTCCTGGTGTTTCCGCTAATACCGATGATGCGAAGCCTTGGAAAACCACTCAAACGCATGCCATTACCGTTTTTTCCTGGGCTGTGGAACAATCCGATGTCGGTCACACTTCCACCATCAAGTAGTCATGATCCTAGCTGGAATGGACAGCTAACCAGTAGTTTTTTACAGGATGTGCTTGTCGAAAAAAGCTGGCCATTATTCACTCCAGTTCTCCTCGCTCTCCTAGACGACCCAGACACGAAATTCAAAGCACTCGGTCTAGCTATTCTAGGCGACTTTCTCGCCAAATGCCCAGGCAAGGTCCTCGTTCAGACCGGTCTGGGTGACATTTTTGAACAATCCGTCTTCCCCTCTTTACTATCCCTGCCAACTCTAACGCCCGAGACAGAGTCCCTCCTACTACTTGATCCGGCATATAGTGCAATCATCCAGCTTGCCAGAATTCAGTTTCCTGGAGCGGGGGACATAGACAAAAAAAATCGACTTCTTACTCGTTTGCTTAGGGAAGGGGTTTTTATGGGCTACTGGCAGGCGTCCGACTATGTTGGAATTGTTCAACTACTTGCTCGACAAACGACCTCTATCATCAATGAACTCGGCTTTCTTGCCACGGCACATTTGAAGGCAACTCCACATGTCTCCAGCGCGATAGCTCTACTGCTGACTTTCACATAGGAGCTCTTGTCTATGGTTTCTGCAATCATGACGGACCCCTTCCTCGCTTCTCATCCTAGCAGCATACAGGCGGCCGCGCAGGCATTCGGTGCCGTCATGGTGAATTGCTGGCCGAGAATTTCAGACAAAACACATGCAGGCGAAGTGCTTAGATCGATCAGCGTTTGCTGGTTGAACATGCTTGCTGAGCATAGGAGCAGGCCGGGGAACGCAGCGACCAAAGAAGCCTTAGCTGAAGTCTCCATACTTGTGCCCATATTGCGCGCCATCTTTGCAGCGTCTGATCTGCTTCTGAAGCCTTACATATCGAAATTGCTGGCTGCGGAGCCTAGGCTCGAAGACTTGTTTGGAGACCAGGAGGATAGGCCGGTGGTGGTAGGTGAAGACAAGAGCGCGGGTGACCTCAATCAAGTGGCTGCTGCTTGAAGAACGACTTGCCTCGAAGCCATTTCCTATAGGCCTTGTATCGCTTCTTCTGAGCATCCTCCTCAGTGACGGTTAGAGGATTGCTGCCAACCTTCAGGAGCTCCGCGTATACAGCGATATCCTCCTCGGTGCCGACAGACGTTATTGCGTCACTTTGCTCACTGCTCTGGACATAGTGCGAATACTCAGATTGGTTTTCTGCCTGGATCGTCTCGGCCGAAACTACCAGCGGCAGGTTTTGGGGATGGCTGATGTACCGTTCATAGTCCTCGGCCTCTTGCTGGCTGACTGATGGATTGAGAGACTCACTAACGGCCTTCGTGAAGGTCCATTGGGCCGCTTTGGTCTTCTCCTGGGCCGTGGGCTTGATCTTTGACGGATCTTGGGGTTCCGCATGGGTCTCTTTCATAATTCCATGGTGCCCAGTCACTCTGTCCTGCATTGGCTGGAGCCAGCGGTGGATGGAAATCCCCTTCCCACCTGCCGTACGGTCTGACATGACCGATGCAGCGTCAATGTCCCGGGGGGACTTCAAGTCTTGCGGATCGACGATTGTCACCTCTTTCTTGGGTTTCTTCTTCTCATGGGCGTCCATATCCGTCTCGTTGCGAACCCGGAAAGGACTCAGGTCATACCGTCCATCTTGCGTGGATTTGAAGGGTATGTACTTGATGGTCGAGTTCATTTTGTAGGGAAACATTTTAAGAAATGACGAGAGCGTGGAGGGGCGATAGTATTCAACCCAGTAATCATCAAAGTGAGACACTGGCTTGTTCTTTGCTTCACCTGGGGGTGGCATGTAAGGTGGGAAACTTCTTTCCTGCAAGTTGTCTGCAGTATACCAATTGATGTAGTCTCGCTTCGTCTTTTCGGACCAAGCTCGCGGGTCCGCGTGATGAAGGTAGTAGTCAGTCGCAAGGTCCCACAGCATTGGCTGCCCTTGGGCAAATATGTAGTTGCCAAGGAAGAGGTTGTACGCCTCTTGGCGCTGCCCATCTAGGAAAGAGTTGTTGTAATACCTCTTAAAGCTCTCGATCATGTCGCGAGAGTGGCTCGTCCACTGGTTTATCTTGCGGTATGTCTCCATGGTATTGACAAGCTGGGAGCCGCCATATTGCACAGCAATGGTGTCACCGTGATCGTGATACATGTGGGTGAAGAGATTAACAGCGTCTGTGTCATAGTTGATAGAGGTGTCTTCGAGGATGCCAAGTGCATGAAGCTGGTGGCCTAGGGCCCTCTTTCCAATGACGAATTGTGCGGCGTTGGTTCGGTCAAGACAGTCTATACAGTTGGTTCGGGCCACACCGTTTTGAACGCTGGTAGGGTACACCTTGCCGTCGCCGTCATGGAAGAATCCGGTTGTGGTGACGACGTCCTCAGCGATGCGCTCCAGAGTACCTATAACGTCCTGGTCACGACTCTTCGCCGCTCGGCTCATATCCCACGCCTTGTGGATGATTTTGCGACCTTCTGGTAAGAACTGGTTCAGATAGTTGATTGCATTTGTATACTCCAGCAGCAGTTTGGATTCTCGCGGCGTCCGTTCTCTCGCTTTGACGAGATTCAGCACATAAATGGGAGCGCCGTAGCGCTCGAAAAGGTTATCGAAATGAAGAGCGGCAGCACTGTAGAATGGATCAACGAGGTTTAGCTCAATGGGGGGTTTTGGTGTCACGCCCGTATTATCCTGTGTCCAATACAGGGGAATGCTTCCCCGGTGCTGGACATACGAAGTGTACTGCGGGCTGGAGAAGAGCCTGTGCCCTGGAGCATGGAACGAAGTTGTCAGAGCTTCCGAGACTACTTGCTCCGTCTCGACATCATTTGCCACGTAACCCTATTCACAAAGTGTCAGCCATAATACTTCTTCCATACTAGTTGGACAAACTCACGAGGTCGTTGGCGCCTCGTTTGAGGAATCTTGCGCCAGCAAAGAAACGAGATCGCCGAGCGATAATAGTAATATATGCAGTGCGTCCGTAAATTGATAAGGCTACGAAGCGCAGTCAGTTGGGTGTCTAGTAAGTTTGGTTGTGGCATTTGGGAGTGCTCACCAGCTTGGTCAATGTAGCCATGGATGATGGGATGGCACCAGTCGAAGGGATCCTTGAGCGCTTTCATGGCCGGTTGCAGGAGATGGCTGTTCCAAACGAACATGCCATTGAAGTCATCCATGGTCCCTGGGAGCCCACGCGCAAGCGCTTCGCGTTCCCTCGTTAGATTATGCTGCATTGTACGGGTGATATCGTACGAATAGCTGTAGTAGAACGACCTGGTCAGGTCCAGGTTGTTCAGTATACCCAAGAACCGGGACTCTTCAGTGTTGCGAACGTCCGCCTTGAATCGGTTCGGCGTCAGCGGCACCAGCTCCGTACCATCAACTTGGTAGATATAATGTCCCCCGATCATGGCCACTGTGCTCTTTTTCGTGATTAGGAGCATGTAGTATGGTCCAGTGAACTTGATGAAACCCA